TTACAATACAGCATATTATTTACAAGCACAGTCGCTAATATTCATCAGCAGTACATATCACCCATTCTTTTCCAGTTATAATTAACTATACCTTTTCCATCCTTCATTCTCATTTGTCTTCTGACAGAAACTTGCTAATTTGTCCTTCACTTTGCGTATTTCTGTATCATCTTCAGGGTTTAGAATTTGTGTTGGGTTGGTCAATTCTTTTTCATCTGAAAAACAAGAAAAGTTGTTGCAAAAAAAAAGAAACTTAAAAAGTTTCAGAAAGAGTGTAAGTAGTATTGGCGTTGTATATAAGAGGTACTAAAGAAATGATTGCCATGATATTCTGTTGCCATGAGATAATCTTATCAATTTGTTACGTTCAAACTAATTTAGTTCAACAAAAAAATTAGACATATCATTGAACACTTCCTGCAAATTGATGGGTTGCAAGCATTTCCAAGAGAGTCAAAAAAACAAAAACATGGCGGCCATTGTGGTGCCATTAACACTGGATGCTAATGAAAAATCATTTGTTAAATGACATCAACATGGCTGCAATAATGTACAATGCAATTAAACAATAGCAAGATCATTTTCAGTGAAATTTACATGAGTTATTTATATTACTGATATGAAAAATGAAAAATTTAATTACTTACTTGAAGTATTGGAACTGGTTTTCTCTTTTACCAGAAATTTTGCAATACTTGGGTCTGTAATATTCAGGATTTCGATGAAATGATCAAAGGCTTTGTCTTCTTTCTTTCCTAAAATTGTCACAAATTCATCAAGTTTTGCATCCCCTGTAGTATTGCTATCGATGGCTTCTTTATCCTCCTTGTCAAACACGAATGTCATAAGACGAAGGACTTTTTTTAAGTTGATTTGTTTTAACACTTCTTTGCTACTACGCAGAATCTCTTTGTGTTCAGGTTGCATAGCGTGTTCATTGTACCCTACAGTATGATAAATAAATTGAATACCAGTAAACAAATAAGCAGACCGCATATTATTGTAAAAAAATTAAAGTAAGCAATATCTAGTTAGAGCAAGAATTTGTTTCAAGTGCCAACTGCACTGATTGGTTCAATCAAGTCTTGCTGTTGCAATAGCCAACTTCCGAGATATGCTTCGCTTGTCATAAACAATGGTTTCAGTATGAGGCTACGCGCTAATTAAATTTATTCTTTTCTCTTATAATGATTCACTGAGCATTATGCACAAAGCCTCACATCGAAAACTTTGTGCGTGACAAGCAAAGCATATCTCATCTCAGAAATGAGCTATTACAAGACACTCGAAGTGTTAGAAGTAGGGGGAGAGGAGGGGGGAAGTCCTTACAGGCCACTCTCCTTTAAGGTCTATGGAATGGCATCTCATGGACATGCAGTAAAATATTCTCAATTCTGTATTCTAGACATGTTTTTATTACATCACAGTGGATCCATAAATCCAATCGACTATATCCACATGGGATAGTGTACAAAGTCTTCTTTGATTACCTCACTGTTGAAATGTATTTACATGACAGCTGCAATATGTATAATAAATATACGTTGCATTATAGGATTTAGTGCAAATAATAGATTGACTATACGTTTGAAGGTTTCTTTAGTCTAAAAGGACTATTATTAACCTTGCAAATCTGCATATAATGTACAAATCTATTATTCAACTTAATATCCTGACAGCTTTGATTGATTAAGGTGGTTCATAGCTATCTTTCCCTCCCTGTCCCTCCACACTCACCATGTTTAGTTTTCAATAGTTCAATCTCTCCTTCTTCCGCAATAGGTATAGCCAGGAATCTCTGTGTCTTCTCCAGAGCTCTAACAAATGCCTCAAAAGCCTTATCTCCTCTTCTGGGTAACAAGTCCAATAAACACCTCGCTTGCTCAGTAGTCGTTCTCTCTGCTCTTATTTCTTCCTCATCCTCTTGAGAAAGCACGCTAGTTAGATGACTTAATAACTTAAGCGGCTGCAGATTTTCGACTAATTCTAGCCTGTGTCTACGGAGTATTTCTCGATGTTTTTTGGTCATAACTTCAGCAGCTTCCGCCATTTTGCTGGAGATTCGAAGGAAAATGTGACGTCACACCCCCGTTCCAGGCCTCGCGCGACTAACAAATCCAAAACAAACAAAAATTATCTCTCAAAAGTCCTTAAAAAGTCAAAAGCTTTTTACTTAATTTAATATTTATCCTACTATTTATCTTAACAAGAAATATTTCTTAAGCTTGTTTGAATATTGAATCAAAAACGAAAAATGACGTCATTTTTCTCGTAAACTTTAAAAATTTAGGATGACGTCGATGACGTCATGGGTTTYACCCAGTTCTCGCTCTTCTTTACCAAAACAAAATGGCGGTCGAGAATGACTTTTAGGTTAATGCTTCATAAACTTGACATTTTATTTATTTTAGATGTTTTTAAGCAAAGTAAAGATGCAGTTTGTCATTATGTAGCTTTGGAGAAGGAATATTTGCAAGATTGTTTAGGACAGGTAAAATATAATGGCTGAGAGAAAAGCCTGGAAGAAAGTCTTGTACGATACACAGGATTACCCAGATAATTATGTTGATAAATCGTTCTTGGACGAAATGAAAAAGAATTGTGAGTACTAAAGAACTTAAATTACTAATATAATGTCGATATTTTGATGGTTCTGCCCGAGGTGTGTATAATGCCACAGGAAACCCATTAATAATAATAAGAGTTGGTATATTAGGAAAGGACACTTTCTATGTTATCTAGTATAAACACTCTTTATAATGTATAAACATTCCATCGTAGTATACACAAGGACATATGACTTCTGGTATGTGGTATGGGAATCTGGCATTGTATCTCAACAGATAAGCAGGTACTGATATTCAGTTCACTAGTCAAATACAAAGCATTCGTAGGGCAGATCCAGGGGGTGTTCTGCAGTCCACCGGACACCCCCTAATCTAATGCTGTGCTTATTACTCTTATGCTTTCCCGAAGGGATGCATAATATTTCTATATACATTTTCCTGGATCTGCCCCAGTCTAAGGAGCAAGAGTTCCAAGAGAGTAGAAATTAACCTCATAATTTTTTTTCTTAGCTTGTGCATCTTTGTCGCCATGTTTGTGTACATGGATTTGAACCTCGTTTCTCCAACAATCCTGTTCACTGTATCAAGCCTACTGACTGCTATGGGATACCTCATATTTGATTTGATAGATGGAGGTGAAGTGAGAAGATCCTGTGGACGCTCAAGTAAGAGAGTGTATTATAGATTTCCCTTGTTTTCTTATATATAGGGTTTCTTCATACAGTGTAAGTCTGTGATTGGGGCTCCTTTACCACAGGAATCCCAACTACGAATCCAGTGCTGCCCTAAAGAGAAGGCTACCCTGCAAGCAGTGGTAAATTATGTATTTCTCTTCCATATGGCTGAGCAGCTGGTACTTTGGGGCATTAGTAGGCAAAAATCATAAACAAATATATTTTATGTTTTACAGAAAAAGATGATTTGAAAAGTCTTTGTTTGGTTCTTGGATTCATTTTTGGACTGTCTCCTATTCTGAAAGATCTGACTGACTCAATAAGTACAGATACTATCTATGCTATRACGGTAAGTAGTGTGTTTCATTTATCCATCCATCCTTTCATTCCCATCCAACCATTTACCATCTTATCTACCCATCCATCCATCCATTCATTCATCTACCCATCCATCCATTCATTTCTATTCATTCCTAGAGATACCATCTATGCTATGGCTTTTAGTGATGTTTTATTCATTCATTCCCATCCAACCATCCACACAGTTACCAATTCATCAGTTCATTCTCTCTTTCATTCATTTACTAATTTTTTATCCTTGTTCATTTTCTTCTTTCTTTCTTTTCCCAGGCATTTATGCTTATCCTGAACCTTCTTTTCCATGACTATGGAGCAAGTGGAGCAATGTATTTAGATTAACAAACATATACATACTTTCCTTTTTATATATAACTCCATACACAGAATCAAAATATGCACACTAAAACTATTTTTCTGGTTTTTTTTTTCTTGCAGAGTTTCCAAATCTGCTTCATTCAATGCATCCATCTTTGCATCAGTTTGTTTAGCATCCAGGCTGCCGACATCTTGGCATGCTTTTGTGATGGTGATCTTTGCTATGCAGTTGTTTGCTCTTCTTCCTCTACTCAGGGGACATCTCAAGGTATTATTGACACACCTTGAAAACCTTACCATGTTCTTCCCTAAAGTGGAGGTGTTCTGACGACCTTATAGGGGAAGGTTGTCCTACAAAACCAGTTTATTATTTCATTCGCATCTGGCATATTTTTGCCTCAGTCTATATTTATGATAAGGGTCCAAAGGTCATGGTTTACTTAACCATCCGCTCCTTCTCATACACTTTTATAGTCTTGGCAGCTAACTATATAGAGCTATTTTAAAAAACGTTGGTGGATATTGCATGTCAAGCCTAATGCATTTCAGAATTTGTATGCAAGATGCAACAACATTTTTTGAAATAGCTGTATCTGTATGTTTTTCAGGAGCATGTTAAATTAATTCACACACCATTAACATGGATAATGGTGTCAGGAGCCATTGCTTTAATCTACCCACTCTCTCCCCTCTTTGCTGTACTGCTGGCTTTGGCTCACTTAACAGTCACTTTTGTGTGTCCTTTATGGTTTGTGAAGCTTCAATGCTTGAAAAAGTAAGGCATCTTTTAGAGAGCAGAATTACACATTGATTCAGGCTCATCTTCATTACATGATAGTGCATGCACAGGGGGAGGAGGGAAATGGACAAAGGAGGGAAATGGAGAAAGGAGGGAAATGGAGAAGAGAGGGAAATGTAAAAAGATAGAGGAGGAAGAGAAGAAAAGAAGAAAGGGAGAGAAGAGGAAGCGAAAGAAGAGAAAGGGAAAATGAGGCAAGAAAAGGAAGGACAAAAGAAGAGAAGCTTTTGAAGCAGGATGTAAATAGGCAATGAAGAAGACAGTCTTGATGTGGGGGGAGTGTCTGAGAGGAGAGGAGGGAAGAAGCAAGGACCTTTCATTGCTTTTTCTAGGGTAAGAGAGACGAGATTACTTCTGAAAAGGAGAGGGGAAAAGATGGTAAGTGTGAAGAGAAGAGAAAGATGTATCTCATAACTACTGTTATATCTTTATTTTCAGTAACATTCATGGCCCATGGGATGAAGCAATAATCAAAGATTAACAAGGTTGGCTGACGAAAATAAAATAGTAATGCAAGAGTGGGGAAGAAATTAAATAAGAGGAAGTAAATCATTGCAGTAAGAACAACTGTAGAGTAGTTAATATTTTTATTTTATTTATATAGCATATTTACAGATGGATCAAATTGATCTTCCCCATTAGCAACCATTGTTGTATATTCATCTAATAGAAAATGTAATGAAGCTAAAAGATCTTATAATAAACTGCATATTTGTATTACATTTTTTGTTACCCGGTCAAGAATCGTAAGTCTTAGACTTAAAATTAAAGTTAAAATCCAGAGAAAAATAAATTGAACCTGTCAACCTGAACTGACATGTTGTTTCAGGATTTGATAAAATTAATGTTTTCTTAGAGCCAAATGGTCGAAGCAGCAAGAACTTGATTATGACTTTGATGAAGATCATTAAACTTTTAATTGACATGTTTCGACGTTGTCAAATGCCATCTCAGAAAGTGAAGTACAAGTGTACACAACATATAAATAGAGCAAAATAACAAAGGAGTTGAATAATGTTTTTTTCAAAATCATGAAGCTGTGTAGATTGAATGAACGTGATAGGTTTACATGGACCTCTCTCACCCAGCAGCCATCTTGGCTAAATGATAGATATATTTTTCCCACATAGCCTCATGTTCAAGTGCTTCAGAATGAGGTTACGTGGGTTCAAACAAAAGCTTGTTATTCGTATGATCAACATCCATGTAAGGTTTTTAAAATGTTGTCTTGTGTTTCTTGACCTCCACCATCACGTGATGTATATTAATGAGCTCACTTCTGATAGGCAGACGTTTGAAGGGGTGTTGAGATAGAATCTTCTGGAATCGATGGTAGTATTGGATTAACTGTGTTAATGCTGCCTGTAAAATGAGCAGGATCCATGAGTTTTTCAAGCCATCAAGGCTTTGTTAAACATATCAATTGTATTGCTATGCACACTACATCTTTACGAAACAAAGAAGCTTTAACCATCTTATCAGCTTCCACGAAAAGAGCGCTAAATAAAACCCGGGCTCATTAGGTCCTGGGTCTAAACCCTGTCAGAATTTGGAACTTTTTCCGAGGAAAAATTAGCACAGAATATCACTTTTTAAAACATGGTATCCCATTTTCTTTCACCTGTAAGATGGTTGTACCGTTCTTAAAGTTTGAAAATGACCTCATGATGTCTTGGTTTATAAGCTCAATGGATTTCTTCCAGTCTGCGGCAAAGCCACGCACGAGCTGCTGGATTCGACCTGTTGTTTTGATAAAGAAAATGGATAACAAAACACTTCAGTGCGGGATCACCTGATTGATTAACTGCAAACTCTTATTTACGATGTGCGCAATTTTGAGTAATAATAAAGCGGTTTTCATATCAGTGGGAAACGATACAAACAAATTCGTAGCCGTACCGTATCTTACCGTAGCCGTAACAACGCGTTTTGATTGGATAATTTACTGGAAAATAATTGGAACCATTTCGATGTAACTTCACGTTCTACCGTGTACGTGCTGTAGATCAGTACCGTATATGTCTCCCACTCATATGATAACCATTCTTATGGGAAACCATTTCAATGTTACGGCACGTCGTACCGTGTACGTGCTGTAAGTCAGTACCGTATATGTCTCCCACTCATACGATAACCATTCTTATGGGAAGCCATTTCAATGTTACGGCACGTCGTACCGTGTACGTGCCGTACACGTAAGTCAGTACCGTATATGTCTACCACTAATACGATAACCATTCTTTCCGCGCTACGTACTGAATTTTTTGTACTAGAGACTTTCTAATCATTGTAAGGATCTTACGTTCGTCTGGTCTAATCACTTGGCCTTGCCCTCTTTCTAACAGCGGTTCAGTTTCTTTGACAAAAGCAATCATCCCACCAAAGGCAGGCGAAAGAACCTATCATGATATGGAGAAAGATATATTATATATTATGATGTCTTGAAATCATCTGGATGTTATAGTAATTCAGTTTTCCATAGGATAGGTGAAGGAAGAAACAAAAAGATCTGGATGTTATAGTAGGTTTCCAAAGGACCGGGAGTGAAGGATGCATTTACGTAAAGGAAGAAACAAAAAGATCTGGATGTTATAGTAGGTTTCCAAAGGACCGGGAGTGAAGGATGCATTTACGTTAAGGAAGAAACAAAAAGCTAGAGAGAAACAGAGAGAACCGAAAGGAAAGGAGCAGATAAAGAAAGCAGAAAAGAAAGAAAAACAAACATGTTAAGAAAGGAAAGCAGGAAGGAAGGAAGGAAGGGAAGAGTAAATAACAAAGGGACAATATAACCTCTTCAACGAATTCTCCTATCCTAGCTGTAAGCAGCTGCTGAAACCCTTCAACTTCCTTAGAATCTTCAGACGTCCTCTCCTGCAAGCAGAAAAATGGTAGAAAGTGAATTAAATTTGGGTTTGCTGTGGATTAGTGAAACGAAAGAACCTTGGAGATCAACTGACCATCAAGACAGCTAACATCATGTCATAGTTATTGATCAGGAAGATAAGCTGTTCTTTACGAAGTGGGAACTCGGCCGCCATTCTTAAGATAAAGTTTTCCACTTCGGCTTGTAGAGAAGCTAAAACTTTGTTGACCTGAAAAAGAAGAAGAGTTTTTTCATGGAAAAAATAAACAAACTAAACAGACAAGAATGAATATCACTTACCCTTTCTTCGGGGAAACTCTCGTTCAAACTAACAATGGCTGCAGAGAATTCAGCATATCGTCTTGTTATCTGTGATGGATGAGGAAAATTTAGATTTGACCTGAACATGATGATGAATCATGACTATGCGAAAAACTATTAGCATCATTCTTGCTAACATCATGCATGTATTAGCATCAGGGCCGAGTCACATCATCAATATTAACACCATCGTCATTATCATCATCATGACCATAATAATCACTACCATAATCTCCATCATCATGATGCTAATATCCTGACCACCATCTTCATCATCACCATCTTCATCACCATC